GGTTGGAAGTTGTCAAGATTGGAAATAAAGGCTTTGTTCCAGATGTTGTGACATATAACATTTGAGGATGCTTTGTAAAGAAGGGAACTTAGAAATGGCAAGTAATTTGTTACAGATGGAGCAAATGGTTGTGCTCCAATGTAGTCATATTTGGTACACTTATGTCTGGGTTTGCAGAATAATGAGACTCAAAAGTGGTTGAACTTCTTCACAAAATGAATGAGGAAATTGAAGCTAGATGATGCATGCATAGCTTATAATTATGATACTGGGAAAGGATGAAAATTATCGCAAAACTTAAAGTTGCTTCCTCATTCTCTACCCAAGAACCAAAAGACTATTCTAGTCGAGTAATGATTTCCGGGAGTACAACTTATGACGAGAGCCTCGTTAGATGTCAAAGTTTCCATGAAAGGTGTTTGCTCTATAGTGGTAATTGTATTATATGAATCCTTTAATGAAGAAGTCAAATAGTGAGTTATTTTTGAGATAGTCTTACTAAAAACCTGAGGGATAAATTAAATGTGTTCTTATTGACTGATCCACTTTCCATCCTTTAATCAAAGTTAATCATAAGATGTGTGATGACATGGCTTGAAATTGACACGTGGAGTCAATAGTGTCAAATAAGCAGTGTATATTTTTTGCCTATAGGTGTCATTGGTTGTTAAGCTTAAGTGCCCTATCGTGGCACTTGATCCTCATTTCAATGTAACAAACTCTCCTTCACAGCTATCTCTCTCTGGTCCTGTTTAACCTTAGGTCTCGATTATGGTAGAAGATTCTACGTGCATCCCTTTCTCACGGTTTTCAGATCTTGTTGTCACAATGGTTGATTGATAACGGAGTCTGTATGGATATAAAATCAGACCAAATGTGGGAGAATGAGGGAGAGAGAGTGAGGCGTTAATCGGGTTGTGTCTTTCCTGTATCTGTTGTTTAATACTCTCTGTAATATTGTTCGTTATGATGAATGAATGCCCTAAAGTGGCTTGAAGAGTTGATGTAGGCTGCCTTAGTCCGAACCACTATAAATGCCCTGTGTCAATTTCTATTCAGCTCTTTCTGTTTTATTAATCTCTAAATTGATCACATATTAGATGTATAAGTTGATTGTGAGTTTGCTCATTGATTGTTTTGATGAAATCAGCTAGTTAAATAACCCTATTTGTTACTACAAATGATGAATGGCTGAGGTGAATTTTTCATCGTATTTGTGTCCATCTAGTGTTGCTCCTCAATTCAAAAAACCATGAGAGGGTGGTATACTAAATAATATGTTCAATATTCAATTCACTTGTATTCAGTCTGTTGATGTTGGTGTGAAGTCCTTTTATTTCTTTTGGATATCAGAATTTTGAAGCTTAGGTACCTGTTCTTTGAGTGTATGGAGTTTTTTGTTGTTGATTAAAATGTTTCACACGTAGTTGTGAACACCAAAGTGTGTATTAACTTTGAATATAATTAATTCTGTTGATACGTGATTGTGACATCAACCAAACGCACTGTGTGAAAGCTGGAGCGGGCCCCAAAGACACATGGGAAGGTGAGAATGAGAGTAAATGCAATGGAGAACAGCGTGTTAAAGTGGTGTCGGATGCTAAGGAAGCAAATCCTACGTCACTTTTTATTAATGATAGAGGTTAGTTTGTTCACAATTCAACGGAACTGACTTACAAGATGATATACAAGAGAGAGTGAGAGAATACTATCTTTTTTTTTAGAGGTGTAGCTAATCCTTAAATGAGAGAAGAGCTCTCAATTTATAATGGGATGGAGATAATGTTATCATTACTAAATCTGTGGTTGGTGGGGATATCCGTGCAAATCCTTCTTATATCCCATTGCCCACCTTCTAGAGTGATTTACGGATTTGGTGCAGGATTGGACACATGGGATCCATATAGCTCTTGGCTGGTATGACGCGCATCCAACCTCACTGACAGGAGTGTGCTGCTCATGTCACCACATGAAGCTGGATTTTTATGACTGCTGCGGGCCTACCTAAGCTCTTGCTTTTATACTGATGATCTTGCGTCAGTCCCTACATTTTAGACATAACAGAAGTCCCCTAGTTTTTAAGGTTGAGAATCGAACCTTGGAAACTATAAATGCATTGATCTGTGCGTTTTGAAGAGATGTGGTCGGGCCAACCTGAATGCAAATGAGATCGAGAGGACATTCTTATAAGCGACCTAGGATGATTCGCAACCCCAGGATTGTGACCTGGTCATGGTTTGCCAGTGCTAGTGTGATCTGACCTAAGGAAGAATTCTCGACCTGTTCTCACTTGGCATTTTTAGGACAAATGGTCACGCTAATTCGCAGCCGGTGTCATATCGCTTCGCGTTGATGTGAGGGGGGTCGACAAACACCGTCGCTTCACCAAAACCAACGGGGGAGATTTTGGTAACGATCTTTCAGATGTTATCCGTTGCAACTTTACGATGGTGTATTAAATGAAATGCCTTTGCTCTAATAGACATGTCTATGGGCAATAGTGCCAGCTATGTGCATTAAATGCAAGCCATGCTTGAAACGACATTCCTTATCAGAGCACTAAATGGCGGTGTGGGCGCATTAAATTGGATTGAGGGAAAAGTGCCATCTCTTGAGCGATTAAAACAGAAGGGATGCATCTGTTTCTTGAGGCGTGACGGTCACTTTCCCATTGATCTGACACGTGGTCGCGATAAACGGTCAGATGCATTTTCTGCCCAAACGTTGTTGATTTCAGGGAACCAAAGTGCCTTTCCTTCACTATTAAAGACACAGCGTTTCTTTAGGCAAGTCGAGTATTTTCATTCTCAGAGAGCAGAAATTTGCCAGTCATGATTCTTTGTCTTCAGAGTGGTGTTCGCTCATATTCGGAACATGACCAACTTTTCTCATTTAGAGGTAAAGAGGAGTTCGCTCTTTTACTCAATGTTTTTGTTTCAACAGTACATGCGATGGACTGTCCTCGATAGCTCATCGGAGACGGAATACCTCCGTTGGGTTTGGAGCCATTGGTGGTGGCTCTTTAAGTATTCTGTTGGGTTTTTTCGGTGTCTCGGGATGAAAACTTTCTCCAACATCATCATAATGAAAATGTACGAAGATTGAATGGGTACCAGTTGTTTGCTTTTGCAAAATTGCAAAATGGATCCACAACACTAGAGCGAGGAAGGAGCAGGCTCGCCCTGTAAAGGATGCCCCTGCGGGCCCCTCGAGAAATTACTCAGCGCTACCGTTGACGAGCTGCAAAGGGTTGTTAACCAGTTCGCTGTGAGCGTAAAGGTTTTCCATGATAAGGTGGATTCTATCGGGATACGCCAGAGGATGGCGCGGATCTCGGAGATATCTTCAAGGGTGGGGGTGGTTGATCCATTTCACCTTTCATACAGGTAACGTCTTGATCACTTCGGGATCACACTAAGCAGCTACCCGAATGCATACACGATGCCATTGCCATGTACATCGCTGTCGGGAGAATCGACTAGGCGAGCTAACCGCGGTTGAGCCGGTTGCTCATAAATCTGAAAAAGAGAAAGGACAGGATTCTGGTACTGTATCGGGAGAAAAACAATACAAGCGGGGTACATAAGCTATTTGAGTAACGAGGGAGCATATGACACAAATTTTTCTTTTTATGTTCAGACCGCATCTGCCGCTTTCACAATCCAAGTAGGTTCTTTTTCCTTCTAAAATCTCGTTTTTGTTCTTCGCTAACGAGGGTTTTTTTCCTGATAGATATAATAACGACCAGCTTGACTTGCCACGGACCGGACAGAATCGCAACATTCGATTTTTGCTCGCGAAAAGTCGAGTACGCGAGTTACTTATGACAACCGAGACTTGCGAAGGTACGGTTTTCAATGGGGCGTAGCTAGGACCCACGAGTAAGTTTCCTGAATTGTCCTTTTCTAATTCGTAGCAAACTGTTTTACAATAGGGTAACATGCAGGACCATGCCTCCCCGGGTGGTCCAAGTCGTCACGACCAAAATAATTTCGTTTTCCACCAGAGGCATACCATCGGGCCATTGGAGTCGCGCCCAACGATCCCCCTACCCAGGGACACAGCGGGCCGGACGACCCGCACCTACAGAGGTTCTTCACCTTCGGCTGCTCGCCCGAAGCAGGAAAACTACGGCTTAGAGGTCTAAGAAGAGGCGGCAAAATTCTGGCTGAGGAGTCAGAGTTCGAAGAAGAGGAAGGCTTGGGACATTTAGATCGCGAGGTTTGCAGCCTTACAATGCGTGCAGCTCGGAGGGCCACTCAGAGGCACGACTGACATTTCCAGGTCAATCGACGCGAAGAAACGTAGTCCTGTTAGGAGGCCTGGCAAGAGCCTGCGGGACAGGCTCTTCGTCAAGGGGGTGTCAGTATCCTGTGTAGACTCATCGCACCACCTGCCCGGACCATGTGAGCGTGGTGTTCTAACATTGTTGGAATGTGGGCTTGCAGAGTCGTTCGAGCAGTTCACTGACATCCAATTCAGTAGACTGTTGTCCAAATCGTTCCAACTCTTTAGCCAGGTAAACGAGTTATCCCGGATGAGGACCTGTTGTTCGTTTTTTAAGGGAAGTAGACTTGACTCTTCTCTCAAGTGCAGGCTTGCTTGTCCCTGCATATGCCCAAGCGAAAGACCAGCTGGGTTTGTGCCGAGCAATTGTAAGTGCGAGAGGCGAATGCGAGACTATGCGAGGAGATGGAGGCCGACCGAGAAGAGACTCTTCATCGCTCAGGCAGCACCGCACATGTCGGAAAGGGACGGTGCCATACCGCATAGGGCCTTTCAGAAGATCGAGCTAGCAAACGCGTGGAGGTAGATGAAAGAGCTCCGGCGGACCATGCCAGACTCTTTAGGGAGCTAGTGAGAAGGATACAAGAGTTGTAGAATACATGCCGACGAGCCTGCAGATGAGCTGGAAAGGGCCAATTTGTGGGAGGTATTGAGAAGACGCGAACCGAGCTTGAGGTTGCACGTCCCATTGCACAGGGTCGCATTGCCTTGCAATGCGAAAATGCAAACGCGGGAAGCAGAGATGGAGAACAGGGTTGGGATTGGACGATCAGGTCCATCTTGCTCTTCAGGCCAGACCCCTGTATGGATCTGTCGATCTCCCTAGCGCAGCTACCGGGACGAGCTTGCTAATGGCGCAGATCAAGGTTGAGGAGACTGCTCGGTGGGGTGACCTGGAAGAGCACGGGAGGTACATCAGAGGTTGTACCTGTAAAAGGACAGTCGGCAACCAGTCTGGGGATGTAGAGGTCGCCCTTTCGGGCTGGGGACGACGATCAGTGATCGCCGTGGAGCTTCGTCTCTGCTCAATATGTGCCTTTTATTACAATGAATAAAGATCGCTTTTGATCTTCTTTATGAGTACTTATAATTTTTGGTACCCTCGCTCATATTGAGATCGCATAGTAACTGTTTATAAACTACACTAGAATAAGTCTATGCGTAACAAATGATACATTCTTGCGAACAGAATTGCAACATTGAAAGCAGTTCATAACGAACTGAATACATCCGTTATTTACTGAGGTTATAAAAATGAAGCTTACAAGGAAAAAATGAGTTCCGACATCATGATAGTAAGTTAGAAGTGTTCAGCATTCCAAGCTCGTGTACTATAGAACCATTTAGCCTTTTAGGTGGTAGTCCCCGGTCTTACACTTTGGCGATGCGGTATGGGCCTTTCTAGTTCGGGTCCCAAACAACTCTCGCACTTGAGTGCTCTCATGAACTACCGAGAAGAACTTCCTTCAATACAGGTCGTGACTGGGAATCTTTCATCTGACTTAGAGTCGAAGAAACTTTTTGCGCGTTGTTGATAGGCCGGTATTCTTAGTAGAGCCCTACTATGATGTTTTCACAAGAGATCCAGACTTGCGCGCATAAGCGCTTCATTGTACCAAACTCTACGTAGTGACACGGTTCCTACTCCACAAGGATCATCGCTTCGCAACTATATGCTAGCGAAAAAAGGGGTCTCTGAGGTAGAGGTTTCGGGAGTTGTCCTGTATGCTCATAGGCTCGGGAAGGTGTCGGCCCACATCCCCTTGGCTACGCCAAGTTTGGCCTTTAGATGTGTGCTTGATAGTTTTGTGACAGCTTCAACTTGACCATTTGCTGGGTCTCGCGATTGAGGAGAATTTTTTATGAATACCCAACTCGTCGCAAAAAACTGCTTGAACTCTTCGTTGTCGAACTGTTTACCTATTGATCGAGTGAGGGTATGAGGAACACCATAGCGGCACTAATGTTCTAAACACGAAAGTCCTTGAGCTTGTTTGGTATTCGTGGTCTAATAACTCGGTTTCTACCAGTTGGTGAAGTAATCTACTCGCACCATGAAATAATTGACTTCCCTTTTACCGACTGGGCATGAGACTATGAGATCATTCCCCAATGGAGAATGGCCAAGGGATATGATGGTTATCAGTCAGTGGGAAGGAGTCGAGGTATGTCGCGAACAGCTGTACTTGTCAAACATTTGACAAGTTTTAGGTGTTTCTTGGTAGTGAGAGGCCTAGTACCCTTGACAAACAACTGTGGTGTCAAGATCGTTCGGCGGTGTATTACCGTAGATCCCTCATGTATCTCTCTCATGATGTAATTTGTTTCTCACGGTTACACCTTGGAAAAAGGGGCCACTAAACCTCGTCTGCACAACTGGTCTCCGATGAGGCGTTTAACGATCTGATCTTGTGGCAGAATCCTTGCCTCGGACCGTGTCGTCAGCGAGCTTTCGGTCCGTCCTAAGGTACTGATGTATAAGGTCATCCAGGATCTTAAGTCTGTTACACACGGCCTGTTCGATCGGGCTGATACTGGTCTCGATGAATCGAATAGGAATTGCTATCGGGGTATCTGAGTCCAAAGACGAGGCTACCGCCAAGGCATCTGCCACAGAGGTTGACTATATCTAGGATCGAGGATGTGAAGTGCTTGAACGGCTCGAAGTAGGGCCTTAAGCTTCCTTCAAATAGAGATCCTATTTCTTCCTTGGTTGGTACTCTCACAAAACATGGTTAACGACCAGCAGGAGTCGTGTGGACACCGATAGCGCGGTTGCACCCTATTTCTGGTCAAACGTAGTCCAGCGAGCAGAGTTCATACTTGGCCTCATCATGGTTGCTTAAACCAAACGAAGAATGCCTGAATGTGAGCCCTTCGAGACTCAAAAGGAGAAGAACCTGCACGGCCCTCTTTCTTGTTGATGATCCATCGACGTAAGGCCCTATGTCGATAGATTTTGAGCAGTACCTTCGCTGGATTGTGCCTTGACCCTCATTGTTGGAAGACTATGAGAATATAATATGAAGGCGGACAACAACTTCCCTTTGATAATTGATTTGGTCTGTACATCAGTCGAATTGACTTAATTCCATAGACCATGTAAGCAATTACTCGACGCCTTTGGGTTTAGAGGGACTTGCCTGAGTGGTAGTTAGTCATTACAGGATCTTATGGGCGTGGAAGTAAGGTCGTAACGTTCTGAAGCGATCAACAAGGACTAGGGTTAACTATCCATTCTTCGGATCCATATCTCGGCATCAACAGACGCTTGCTCGTGTAAACATGGCCCATTGGACCTGTCTTTTCCCAAAACTAAGGCTGCCACTAACCGCAAACTGAGAGATGGACAGGTACAAGAGAGGAGCTCTTGCGAGAGAGGCTTGGACAGAAGATGTGGGCTTTCCCGCAGGTGTTCTTTAATACTCTGCATGCCTGTTCGCACGTGGGGGTCCATTCAAACTTTTTATTGGCCTTAGAACATTGAAGAATGGAAAGCAACGATCTGTTGCCACTCGATATGAAGCGACTTAGCACCGCTATTCGTCGTTAGGCTCATGACATGTTTTTGGGTCAGGGGTTTCATGTCAAGGAGAGCTTGATGTTCTCGGGGTTGTATCTCTATTCCCGTGGTAACCATGTATCCTCAGGAACTTCCAAGGATACTCCGAATGAGCTTTGAGGGGGTGATAGCTTTATCTGTATGCGAAGGATATCGAACATCTTAGGAGATGCACTATGTGATTTGAAGCGACATGGGATTTGACCAGCAGTCATACATAGACCTCCATTGACTTTCCTATCTGTTCGGGAAATACTTCGGGTTAACCAACGCTGGTAGGTTCGCCAACGTTTGAGGCACAAGGGCATAACTATGTTAGCTCGGACAACCCCAATTTGTAACAAAGGACGTATGTCTTCGTCCGACCTTAAACTGGATTTGATTGTATCCGATTACACGTCCAATAAAACTCAACAGCTCGTGCCCAAAGGTGGCATCACGAGTGGTCGATTCTGGGTAGGGAAATGCTATCTTTGGGCATGTCGTTATTGAGGTCGGTGAAGTCAACGCAGGTTTCGCATTGCAGTGTGGACTCTTACTAGAATCGGGTTGGCAACCCAGGGCGGAAGAGCTGCTCGCGGATGGATCTATTCGAAGGGATTATCTACCTGAAGTTTCAAGGTGTGACAATCGTTTTCCGGATCCTCGCTATCTCTTTTGGCGAACCAACTTGGCTTCACCTATCGATGTTTAACTGCATGGCAAATATATCGGGCTGATAACGACTATGTCCGCATGCGACCTAAGCGGAAAACATCAGCTAATTCCTCTGAGGAAAGCTGGTCAGTTCGGTGGCGAGCTCGGGGTGAGATTGTCCTAATCCTTAAAAACTCTACTTGGCTGTACGTGGTCTAACGATACTCTCAGACGTCCCAACTGTGTCCACTGGAGGGAGATCCTGAACTAACGGACCCCAGTATAGCCTTTGCCTGGGCCAGCTGGGCCACATCGCGACTGCCATCGCCATTGCTTGTCAGGAAAATGGCCAACGAAGATGCCATGGTCCCATTGCCACCGGCTATTTCATGCTTTTCAAATAAACAGTCGCGACGGCTGAGCCCTGAAGATCCGCGCTTCCCTTTCCTTGTGGTGTGGTGAAACCTCCTTCAGTATGTATGTCGAAGGTGACGCCTGAAGTTTCCAGTCATTAGAGGTAGCCCCGCGATTCCATAAAAATGGTGGACAATCCACTACAAGATATTCAGTTTACATTAGTCATTGTCAAAGCACTAGTAAGTGATTGGAAGCAAACATTGCTTCCTTTGTGGGTCAAGTGGTCACCTATAAACCATATAGGGAATCGAGGTGGGCTTCATGTTAGCTTGTCCATCTCGAAAGCTGTTGGAACAACTTTTTCACAAGCTTCCATATCCACAACATTCTGTGGACGTTAGGGTTGCCTATTAGGAAGTGACTTACAAGAGCGTCATGTGGGGTGATGCAATAACGCTGCATCTTTCGTAGAAGTAATTTCTCCTCCCTGTGAAACTTTGTTGTCGCTGCGTCGGTGCTCATCACACTGACTAGGGTTGTAAGGGCGGCGCGAGCTATCTCTCCTAGGCACCCTCGCGAGTTCCTCGTGAGGGAGGCCCCCCAAAGATCAAACATTGGCGTACATATACCTAGAGATCAGTCTACTTCTTCACTGGTTCCCCGTATTGATTTTTCCTCTTGCGACGGGGGGAGTGGAATCATCTAATATATTCCTTGAAATGCCCTGGCGTGAGGTCCTTACGTTGCCTGTTTGTGAATCGGCACTACGATGTATGATTCCTATTATCCGCGATGAAAGGATAGCATTTGTCTTAACTATTGCTTCCTGGCTTGATGAGGAATTTTCAGTGGTTCTCCGGGCTCTCCGAGCAGGACTGGCTTCTTCTGACTGATCGTTTGCTTCGCACTTGTCAGACTAGCTGAACAGACGCATTCAAAGGGCATATACTAATTTTGTTGCGATCGTGCGAGGAAGAGAGCTTATTTTGAACATTACCATTTATTGCATATGCAAAAGAGGTAGGGTTTATGATGGTTTTGTTGTTTTTGAGAGTATTTTTAGGAGAGCTTTTTACCCAGATGCTGCGACTTTTACTTGTCTCATTAATGGTTTTTGTATGGAGCATAAGATTAAGAAGGCGATTGAATTGCTTAGGAAAATGGGTTCTTTTGGTTGTACACCTAACGTAATTACTTTTGGGACTTTGATTACTGGGTTGCGTCGAACAGGCAATATCACTATTGCCCTTCAGTTTTTTGAAGAAATGGTTAATGGGAATGTGGATTTGGTATCACTTGTAAGCCTAATATTGTTTTGTTATGCTCGAATTATTGATGGTCTTTCCAAGAATGGGTTAATAGACAAGGCAAATAAACTGTTTTAAAAAATGAAGACTAGGGGCATTAAACCAAATGTGGTTGCTTACAACACTCTAATTTATGGTTTGTGTAATACATCTAATTGGGAGGAGGCTAAAACTTTGTTTATGGAGATGTTGGATGAAGGTGTACAACTTGATGTATTGACATTTAATATGATAATAGATGATCTTTGTAAGAATACAAAGATGAACGAAACTAATGGATTGCTCCAACTGATGATTAATAGAGGTGTTCATCCTAACACAATTACTTATAGCACAATTTTGGCTAGTTATTTCTTGGCAAGTATAATTGACGATGCAAGAAAGCTATTTGATTCTATGGCAAGTAAGGGGTGTGAACCTAATGTTGTTAGCTACAATATTTTTATGGACGGTTTGTGCTTGGCAAATAAAATTGATGATGCTAAAGAGTTGTTTGCTTCAATGTTGAATAAGGGATGCATGCCTAATGTAGTTACTTAGAATACTCTAATCATTTGGTATTGCAAAAATCGTAAAGTTGATGAAGCTATGAGTTTTTATATGGGAATGACTTCAAAGGGAGTGAGGCGACAATTGTTACTTATAGCACCTTGCTGAATGGCCTTTTTATGATTAGTAAAGTCAGACATGCAAGAAAACTATTTGGTGAGATGCAACGCAATAATGTTCCTCCAGATTTAATTACGTATAATATTCTCATTGATAGATTTTGCAAAAATAGTTGTATTTTGGAGGCTGTTGAACTGTTCCATACTTTAAAAAATGGAAACATTCAACCTAACACCAAAACTTTCAGTTGTCCCATTGATGGGTTGTGTAAAATAGGGAGACTCAAAATTGCTTGGGAACTGTTTCACAGATTGTGAAATAAAGGCTTTGTTCCAGATGTTGTGACATATAACATTTTGATGCATTGACTTTGTAAAGAAGGGAACTTAGAAATGGCAAGTAATTTGTTATCAGATATGGAGCAAAATGGTTGTGCTCCAAATGTAGTCATATTTGGTACACTTATGTCTGGTTTTGTGCAGAATAATGAGACTTCAAAAGTGGTTGAACTTCTTCACAAAATGAATGAGAGAAATGTGAAGCTAGATAGATGCATGCATAGCTTCAATAATTGTAGATCAACTGGGAAAGGATGAAAATTATCACGAACACTTAAAGTTGCTTCCATCATTCTCTACCCAAGAACCAACAGGATATTGCTAGTCGAGTTAATGTATTTCCAAGGGAGTACAACTTATGACGAGAGCCTCGTTAGATGTCAAAGTTTCCATGTAAAGGTGTTTGCCTTCATCATAGTGGTAATTGTATTTATATGATTCCTTTAATGAAGAAGTCAAATATGTGAGTTATTTTGGAGATAGATCTTACTAAAAGCCTGATGGGATAAATTAAATCGTGTTTTCTTATTGACTGCAATCCACATTTCAATCCTCTTAATCAGAGTAAATTTGCGAGATGAATGGCCCATAGGGAATTTTGCATTTGTATCTGTGTCCAATCTAGTGTTCTCCTCAATCCCAAAAACCATGCTAGGGTGGTATACCAAAAAATATGTTCAATTTTCAATTCACCAGTATGCTAGTCTGCTGATGTTGGTGGAAGTCTCTTTTATTTATTTTGATAATATCAGAATTCTTGAAGCCTTTAGGTAATTGTTTTGTTGAGTGTATGTAGTTCTTCTTGTTGGATTAAAATGTTTCATAGTAGCCCTGAACACCAAAGTAGTGAATTAACTTCTGAACGTAATTAATTTTGATATGAGATTAGGTTAGAGTAATGATACTCAGCGTCATGCATTTAAAATGGTAAGAATTGATATACCTAAGTTTCATCTTCATCTTTGGTGTAAATTGTCGTCTTCATCTTTAGTGAGCATGACCATTGGGATGCAATATTGTTATGTAGTTGACACATCTTTGTTTCTGATAGGTGCCTACTGATGTTTTCAAAAGAACCACTAATGAAGATGGTGCAGCCCCCAAGGCCGCTGATAGAAATGATGCTATTGAACAAGTGAAAGAAATTGTGTTACCTCTTTTGTGAGGGCACATTAATGAAAGTGAGCATAAACTTCATTGTATGGTGAATAGTGCTGGATTAGCAATGGTACGATTTTCTAGACGTAGGCAGTTAATATCTGTTTTTACTGGTATTATTTTGAATAAGTGGGCTCGTTTGACCATCCAGTAGTAATGTGTTTTTTTTTTTTTTATTTCTTTGGGTAGTGGGATTCATTTTTTTTTTTTCACAAATTGAGGCATTTAATATTAACTTCCATTGAGAAAATCTAAACAAACGAACACTAACAAATTTTGGTAATCATATTTGGAAGAATAATGAAGTCTGATGTAATTGGAAGCGGAATTGTCAATACTGCTGAACAGGTGAGCAGTGCATTAAATTGTTTTGGATTTTATGTAAATCAATTCTTACCATTTTAAATGCATGACGTCGGGACGTAGTGAGAAACCCCAATAATTTCTTTTTCTTTTTCTTTTTCTTTTATGCTCCCGCATCAATGCATGAAATTGTAATGGACTGATTTCAGGTTCTACCCTTGGTCTACTTGAGAGTTTCATAATAGTGATTATGAGAGTAAACCACCATAGCGGTTTTAAGGAGTTTTTAATAGCGGTTTTTAAAACATCATACCTCTGCTTGGGAGTTTATTTTTCAACGGTTTTGATAGTTTTTTAAAATGATAAATTTACATATATGCCCATAAAATACCCCAACTTCAACTAGTGCTTGGGAGTTTTGTTTTTTTAATTACAAGGTAAGAGTTTTTTATTTGTTTTCTACTTGTTAGTATTTTATAACTTCAAATGTGATTAAATCTTCTTATTCTTCTTCGCCATCTTTGCAGCATTTGGAATGATTGAAAAATTATAGTCCACTTCTCCAAGAAAGCATCTACCAATGAGATTTTAATTTTTTTTTTTTTTTTTTTGTGATTGCTTAAAATTATTTTATATTTAATATGGTTGGAACGCGCATAGTATGGTCAATTTTTTTTTTTTTTTTTGGATATAATTGGGATAGTTTTGTAATGGAGAAGGTATTTTTGGAATAAAATTTTAAAACCAACCAAAACACCCCGATTTGAGAGGTTTTATGAACTCCTAAAAAATATATTACATTGATTCTGAGGGGTTTTTGAACCAGTCAAAACCAGTACCTAAAAAATCATGCAAGTAATGGTTTTAGAATACCTCAAAACCAGTCTAATTAAAAACTCTTCAAAACCGGAAAAAAACTCCCCAAGCATTACTATCTCCCCTTTTCAGCACCTAAATTTGTACTTTCTGTCATTTACGATCTTCTGAAATAGTGCTTACAATTTTCAGCTAACTTTGGAATAAGTAGAAGGATGGCCTATTTTTTCCTGTAATGTGAAAATGGAAAGAACTACGGAAAATTGTTGGTGATGGCCAGCATTGAATATTTCAGTTGTCTCCGGGAGTTATACTAATAGTATTATTTTTGTTTGGTCTTGTACACAAGGTTGCCCTAAAAAATACCAGTGGGGGTTCGACTTGAAGGCACCAATGTTGACCAGGGAAAGAGACACTTTGAGGTAATTAATGAGGAATTTAATCTTTTGTGATATGGCACTTGATATGTACACACATGGAAGTCAATTTTTACTTTGGGTGGTCAATGTTAAAGACTTAAGGGGCATTTCAGTCTTTCCTGGTATCTTCAATAAACCTAATTTCAATTAGGTTTTGCGCAGCTTATTCTCGATCATTCTCTCTTGGTTAATAGAGAGAGAACACTGTTAGAATCTGTAGTGCTGGAAATCCAAAGGATGTTGATGGAATCAAACGGTGATGATAGGTCTTAGCGGTCCTATCTGTTTTACCTTTTGTTTGTTGTATAAATCTGCCCCTAATTCTATCTATTGGATTATGTATGAGTGGTGAGAGCATTTGGGTGTACGGGTGCAAATCAGAGGGGTTTTCTCAGGTTGTGCCTTGTGTAAAAGGGGTGAGCCTAATCTCTGTACAGTTCTCTTATTTTCTCATAGTGGATTCTTTTCTTTGCCCTGAAGAGTGGATGTAGCTAATCTTTCAGATTACCGAACCACTATAAATCTTGTGTTCTTTATTTTCTTGTCATATTTGCTTATTCATTATTGTTGTAGATTTTGTGGTTGCTTGGTTTGAATACTGCATATATATACTTGTTCTTGATATCATGTTACAACAAGTGGTATCAGAGCTCTGTTTTCAGACACCTAGGTCTTATTCTAGGTTGTGAGATCCAGTTTACGAATTTGCAGTAGCCTAGGGTTTGACTGTTTTTTGTAGTTGTTTATTCCTTTAACTTAGGGTTTTCAATTTGTCTCTGGAATTGGGGCTTTTATACTCTAAATATCTGTGAAGGTTAGAAACCTAGAAATGACTAAGTTTGATGTAGAAAAATTTACAGGAGACGATGATTATGGGTTATGGAAATGAAGATGAGGGATGTCTTAGTTAAGGATGAACTGTCTGATACCTTAGAGGGTGAGGATAGCTTACCAGTGTCGTTGTCTGAGAAGGAGAAGAAAGATCTGTTAGATAAAGCTTACAGTACTTTAATTCTAAGGTTAGGAGATAAAGTCCTAAGAGAGGTTAAGAAGATGAAAACACTAGCAGAAATTTAGGAAAAGTTAGACTCCATATACCTGTCAAAGTCTTCTCCTAATAAGTTAGTTTTAAAACAGAAATTTTTCAGTTTTAAAATGGATGAAAACAAAATATTAGGTGACAATATGAATGACTTTATGAAACTTGTACAGGATTTAGAAGGTCTTAGTGTTAAAGTTAAGGATGCAGATCAAGCTGTGATCCTTATTAATTCTCTTCCTAAATTTTTCTCAAATTTTATGGATACTTTTAAGTATGGTAGACAAACTCTTAAACTAGATGAAGTAGTAGTAGCCGTTACTACTAAGGATGCTGAGTTTAAAAAGGAGGGTAAGCTAAATGGGGAAGGACTGAATATCAGAGGTAGATCTGAGAAAAAATTGTCAACGAAAGGTCACTTTAGGGGTAGATCTAAGTCTAAATCCAAGTTTGTGAGGAAGTGTTTTCATTGTCATAAGGAAGGACACTTTAAAAGAGACTGTCCAGATAGGAAGAAAAGATTAGGTGAGAAAGAGGCTAGTGGCAGTGTTGATATAGCTTCAGATGGATATGAAAGCTCTAATGTCCTAGTAGCTTCTGATAAAGGATCTGAGTCTGAGTGGATTTTGGATTCTGGATGCACTTTCCACATGACTCCAAATAGGAGTTCACTGATGAATTTTAAGAAATTAGAATCTGCCAAGGTTCTAATGGGGAATAATGCAGTGTAGTGTCTTAGGCATTGGGGATGTCAGGTTAAGTCTTCATGATGGCAGTTCAAGAGTCCTTTCAGAAGTTAGGTACATACCTGAGTTGAAAAGGAACCTAATCTCCTTAGGAAGCTTAGTCTCAAATGGG